AACCACACAACCTCTTCTCTCTCTCTCTCTCTCTCTCTCTCTCTCTCTCTCTCTAGTGGTGGTGCCATCAAAGAAAGTTGCAGGGTCTCTCAACTCTTTCGAGAGTGGGGCTGGTCCCCCATACACATTACAAGCTGCACACTAGCAGCCTCTGTCGTTTCTTTCAGGTCTACCCCTCCTTTCTCTCACTAGCAGGCATATTCCACTGAGGACAAGCCCATACATTGTGTTCCTACACCTCCATTACTCCCAAATGGCTCAAGGCATATGCCTGCCTGCTGTGCTGTGAAAGCTTCTCCTCCCCCCTCCTTCTTCTTCCCTTGCATCATACATGAGGTGACGCTAATGGAGGAATTGTTACTGCTGCCTCAGCCTGAGGGGAATCTAAGACACTAGTGGAGCATCTTCTTCTGACGTCGGAATTCTTCCCACACTATAATGGTTCCCTTGAACCCTATCTACCATTGTCTGAAATGGTTTCTTGTTCCACAACTGCAAATTGCCTCTGCCTTAGTGGATCCTGCACTCATCATCTCCCTAGCGGCTGGCCCCATGGGGATCAACAAAACTTTGGCCAAGCACAGTGACGGCCCCTATGCGAGAGAGAGTGGCGTGACTCGAGAACAGGAGGAGCACCATCTTCCTCCGCCCCCTCCCCCTCCGTCTTCTCACCCTAAAGATTACAGCGCCAAGTCCTCCCCATGTATCATTGTCCCAACTTAACAGGCACCGAAACGATGCACCGTTGATCCCAAGAACTGTGCTTCGGACGTTCATTTTGACTCCCAACACTCGACCACTACAACCGGGAAAAGCGCATGCACGACTCCTTACTTCGCACTCCACGTCCACATCTCAAGTCGTAGAGGAATATTATCCCACCCTATACGTACGTGGAGGGATGTCGTCCGCGGACGCCATTCTCTCGTTATGTTTTCAGTAACAGAAACATAAAGCGGTAGTGTTTTTTGTCTGTTTCTGAAGGTGGATCGTCTCAGGGAAGTGTTTTTCTCTTTTGTAGAAAGCGGGCAACAAAAACAGTAGGGGAATAATAATGGATAAGTGACATGGAAACAGCGGCAAAAGGTGGGCAGTGGGAGGCTGACGTAAGAGAAAAGACAGCCGGGATCGGATTCCAATCTATCCCCCTCAGGAAAAAGCGAGCGGGAGAGAGAGAGAGAGGGATTCCGAGCACCCGATCTCGAAGGGAAAGGAGGAGCAGCTTGTCGTTTTGATTTTAGGGCCAAAATAAAATCTACTTTACGCTGTGGCCTTTTCGGAGCGAGAGGGTGGCGAGGTGGGACGTGGTGGGGCGGGGGGAGTGGCCCGGCATGGCTTTGAAGGGGCGGCCGAGGCGGAAGAGATAGAGAGAGACAGAGAGAGCGAGAGAGAGAGAGAGAGAGAGAGAGAGGGAGAGGAGGACAAGTGCGTGTCATGGGAGAAGTCCATTTCCAAAAGGCATCACAATAATTCCGCGGAAAGCTCATGTTCCAAAAGGCATAGATCCCCCGTCCTCCTCCACCATTGAAGAAGATTTGGAAGCCAGCGATCAAGAGAGAGAGAGAGAGAGAGACTCTGAGGGCGTGTCCTGATATGGGGGCGGCTTGGGACCAGAGATCGATGATGCTGCAGTGTTCCCAAGCCAACGGTCCGAGCTCTTTCTACCGAATGGTGGTGTATGGAGGGATGGAGACGATCGAGTGTATATTATTGTGTCAATCATCAGTATGGTTATGATTTAGTACGTCGACGTCGAAGCAGCTCAGCAGACTTCGGAGTTGGGAAAACCAAAAGGCAAGCAGAAAGTTGACGAGGAAGGAGGACGCGTCCTCAGCCCACAGAGTCAGTAATATGATGATTAAGAGGACAGTCCCGAAGAGATGCTTAATTTGTTATGTGATAGTGCGTGTTCGTTAAACAATGATTGCAATCTACATAGTATTACTATTAGTCTCGAGGATATAATTTATCTCGTAACACCGAGAATGAATGATAA